GACGACGAACGCAACATTTCAGGATTTTGATCGATTTAATAATACATAAATGTGATACCAGATAATCTGAGGCTACAAAATACAATATAGACAATGTTTACGATATAAATAACGATATAATGTTTACGATAGAAATAAAGTTCAAAAATGGCGAAAATTACGTAAACTTACATTTGTCTGACTACGTCCATCGTTTCTAACCTTTCTTCAACAATAAAATTTAAATAATTTGTTTCTTTACTTTAATTTCACTTCGTGCTGGCCGCCATCTTTGTTTTCGATTATTTCGCCCCAGTCCTCTAGCGGCTCTCGCTTTCAAACGCAACATACCCCCGGACAATGGGAGAATCCCATTTAATTAATCTTTAAAACCTTCGACAGGATAAATAACGCAGAGCTTCGTAATTGGGCGTCTATAATTTCCAGTTGCTATTTTCACTTCCACATTTCTGATTAATCCGTCATCCCTTGGGAATACTTGGGTAACTCGCCCATTTTGCCAATTTCCCCGTACATCATTAGGATCAGCGATTATAACCCAGTCATCTACACGAACATTTCTATTCTTCCTGTTCCGTTGTTTTCTTGGTACTAAGCGAGGCAATACTTCTACAGACCATCTCTTCCAAAACGAGTCTATGATCCTTTGACAGAATTCGAATCGGTGACGTGGATTGTTAGTTTTGCGAAACGTCCTTGTGGAACAGCGTTGGTGGATCTGCCTAAGAGGATATCATTAGGACAAATATATGCTCCGTCATCGGGATCTTGCGACAGCTTACCAATAGGACGTTGATTCAGCAGATACGAGTCTATGATCCTTTGACAGAATTCGAATCGGTGACGTGGATTGTTAGTTTTGCGAAACGTCCTTGTGGAACAGCGTTGGTGGATCTGCCTAAGAGGATATCATTAGGACAAATATATGCTCCGTCATCGGGATCTTGCGACAGCTTACCAATAGGACGTTGATTCAGCAGATACGAGTCTATGATCCTTTGACAGAATTCGAATCGGTGACGTGGATTGTTAGTTTTGCGAAACGTCCTTGTGGAACAGCGTTGGTGGATCTGCCTAAGAGGATATCATTAGGACAAATATATGCTCCGTCATCGGGATCTTGCGACAGCTTACCAATAGGACGTTGATTCAGCAGATACGAGTCTATGATCCTTTGACAGAATTCGAATCGGTGACGTGGATTGTTAGTTTTGCGAAACGTCCTTGTGGAACAGCGTTGGTGGATCTGCCTAAGAGGATATCATTAGGACAAATATATGCTCCGTCATCGGGATCTTGCGACAGCTTACCAATAGGACGTTGATTCAGCAGATACGAGTCAATGATCCTTTGACAGAATTCAAATCGGTGACGTGGATTGTTAGTTTTGCGAAACGGTCCTTGTGGAACAGCGTTGGTGGCTCTGCCTAAGAGGATGTCATTAGGACAAATATATGCTCCGTCATCGGGATCTTGCGACAGCTTACCAATAGGACGTTGATTCAGCAGATTAGCTACTTCTACAAGACACGTGTGTAGCTCGAACGGCGTTAATAAAGTGTCTCCAATCGCTTTCTTGATCGCTTTCTTACAGGACTTTACCATGGACTCAGAACATCCATTTTGGTGGGGGGCAAGAGGTGTTGTGAACTGCCACGTTATTCCTCTTCGATCATAGCTCTGAGCTCGTTCTCTGCTCCGACCATCTGAAGTCCGTTATCAGACAGCATCAATTTCGGGTAACCTCTGTACGAGAAGAATCTTCGTAAGACTTGAAGAAACTCCATCGCACTTGCGTCGACAGCGAGTTCGCAATGAACAGCTCGCGTATTCGTGCACGTAAATATAACTCCGTAATGTTTTGTCGTTTTATTTCTTCCGATTTTCACCTTTATTGGACCAAAATAATCGCAGGAGGTAAACATAAACGGTGGTGTGTAAGACTGAAGGCGTGATGCAGGTAAGTTGGCCATAAACTGGTTCTCTACTTTGGCTTCGATCTTTCTACATAAAGTACAGCTGCGATTTTTTCTCTGCTTTGGCGACGTCGTGACCTCGGAACACCCAATACTTTCTTCTGGTTCTTGCGGTTGTGGTGTCAACGCCTGAATGGCTGATTTGGTGGGCATTGCGTGTGACGAGTACATAAATCCAATGCTTTCGAGGCAACAGGGCCGGGCGTGTGTTATCGTAAGATACAAGACTTGGGTTGACACGACCATCAACTCGGATGATACCTTTTGGATCCACGAATGGGGTTAATGTTTTAAAGTCTCATTTCTCCATCCGCTTCATAAGGTCGATTTGAGAAATCTTTAGCCAGTATTCTTCGGCACTCTGGATCTCTATGGGGTTAAGAGGGCCTTCGTAGGTGGGAAAATCCTTGTTGCGGGATAACTTCGCTCGGACATTATGGCAGAATCGAAGGACATAGGCGGTGGTTAGAAGAAGACGTTTCCAGGATGAAAACTTCGTGCAGTCGATTATTGGTTCCAGGACATTGGTAGCACATGTAATAGTTACTTTTCTTCTTTCTTTGTTAAGTTCTTTCATATCCGGTACATCACTTTGGGTAGGCCATTGCTCTTCGGCAAGTTGCAAGAATTCTGGACCTGGTACATGGTGACCATCTTACATTGATTTCTTCGATGGATATTCCCTTCGTTATATCATCAGCAACGTTGACATCAGTTGGACAGTGGGACCAATGCGCGGGCTCGCTGTTATTTTGAATTTCCACGACTTTTGACGAAACAAATGGCTTGTAATTGCATGTCTGTCCTTGGATCCATGCTAGAGCAACTCTACTGTCCGTAAGATCGTAATCTTTCGAATTCGAAACGAGATTCCTGTTGAATGGTTTTACCGAGACGACTTCCTATTACTGCGGCTTGAAGGAATTGTACAAATCGTACACCCAATTTTCCATCTCTTTGTTTCCATCTTATATAGGCAACCGCACCGAATGCTAAACGAGATGCATCACAGAACACGATAAGACAGGGTTTACCAAAGGCTTCAGATGTCGTTAGACAACGATCAAATTTAACATCATTGAGCTTTCTAATTTCTTTGAAGATACGAATCCACTTTTCTCTCGAGGCTGATGGAACTTCATCATCCCACTTCAGACCGAATTGCCACAGTTCTTGTAAGGCAATCTTCGATTTGATTACAATGGCCGCTGCAACTCCAATTGGGTCGAAAATGACTGCAAGTTTACTAAGGATTTTTCGCTTTGTCAACTTTGATGGAACGACAGGACTTTGGTTGGTCGTTACGTCTCCAGACTTAATTTTGTACGAAAACTTGTCTTCTTTTGGTACCCAAACAGTTCCAAGAACTCTTTTGGTACCGTCATGGTTTTTTCCTGACATTCCTTTTTTCGCACGCAGTTTGAGGCTGTATGACCTTTGCTTCTTTTGAGACAACTAAAGCATGCCTTCTGATCTGCTCCTTTACAATTTCCCATCGTTCCATGGGTGTCATGGACTTAAATTGAGGGCATTGATCAACATAGTGCATGTCTTTGCAAACATAACATTGTGTCGTTGGGCTGTCCGACATTAGCGAGTTAGCATTGTTACCTTAAATGATCCTGAGTATTGACTATTATTTCCACCACCTACAGCGTGGACACCATGTCGATAGGAATTGCTGCCTTTTCTGATTGTAGCACCCGAACGTAATCGCACAGTCATTTCTTTTCCCATCCATGCCAACAAATTAACTAGTGAAGGTTCCTTCTCTTGCACGTAAATATGCCGAGCTGTAACCAAATTTTAACGTATCACTACTTTCATTCTTCAACAAGGTATAACTTCAAGGTTTAAGATGGCAAATAACTAAATCGGTTTCACGAAATAGTATGTTGTTTTCGAAAATAACCAGGCTATAACGTATAATAGACCAAGTTGAGGAAAAATAACTTTGTTTGAAAGCTTAGAGTGGAGGAAGGAGAGCAGAACTGGGCTAAACAAAGTAACCGGCGGTGAACCACGCGGCACCTTCCGGAGCTCCGGCGGCTTATTTTGAATGCCCAGGAAGAACAGTGATAGCATCTCTTTCTGAACAGTGATGTTCAATGGCGTGTTGGAAATCAGACTTGAATATGAAATATTTTCTAACGTCTCCACAAAAGGTTGGCAATTTTGGGTTTTCATGCTTTACATAGAATGACTTTGAGGGCATTGTTAAAGGGGGAGCATCTACTTCCCCCGTATTTCCAGTTTCAGTCGACTGAGATTCACTTGAGAGTACATTGTCACTGGAAGGCTGAGTACTAGGCTGATTATTTATTTCAATGCTGGCTGCACTTCTTTATTTACTTTTGTCTAACTGGTCTTTAATTTGATATAATCATTGATGACAATAGAAAGCTGCGTGTACTAACTTGAACATTCATTTAACCAGGTCTCGGCTTCATCATATTCTTCATCATTCAAAAACATAGCGTATTCTTCATGTTTGACTATTAAAGCTGCATATGAATCCTTTATTTCCTTTAAAACATCCTCAATTTCCTGAACTAGCCGTTCAGCTCCAAGTAAAACCTTTGCAGTTTTAATAACTCGAGTTAACTTTCCTTTAATAGCGGCACGGCGAACATTCTTGGCCTTTTCCAATCGTTCCTTTGCCTCAGACATTGTATAAACAAATATTATTCAAACATTAGCAACATAAATCCACATAAATTTTCACTTGTAAACCTTTGAAACACAGTAGCAAGGAAATCTTCAGATGATGTTTCCTTAGTTCAAGATTAGACACGACGACGAACGCAACGTTTCAGGATTTTGATCAATTTAATAATACATAAACGTGATACCAGAATCTGAAGCTACAAAATACAAATATAGACAATGTTTACGATATAGATCTAAAGAAATATAGTTCAAAATGGCGAAAATTAGGTAAACGTACATTTGTCCGACTACGTCCATCGTTTCTAACCTTTCTTCAACAATAAAATTTAAATAATTTGTTTACTTTAATGTCACTTCGTGCTGACCGCCATCTTTGTTATCGTTTATTTCGCCCCAGTCCTCTAGCGGCTTTAGCTTTCCTGCCTCCTCCGCAGGCCCTCGTTGTGTCATGGGAAGGTCACGATTTCGAGAGGGCCTGCGGAATCTTGTAAAATGAATAAATGTTGTTTTGAACCTGCTCCGTTTAAAGAAGGCAGTTTTATTCGTGCAATGTTGGTGTGGACAACAAACCTTATCGTTAAAAAATGCTTCCTTCCACGTCCTAAGAGTCGCCAGTTTAATTTACAAGTTTCACGCCGCTTTTTTATATCCTGTTAATATTCAAGATTATGTAGAAATTTACTTGCTGACGTGACGCCGGCGCCATTTTTTTTACAAGATTCCGCAGGCCCTCGCCAGAACGTGACCTTCCCATGACGCAACGAGGGCCTGCGGAGGAGGCAGTTAGCTTTAAACGTAACAGTGAGGATAATTTCCATATAACATTTTTGCCATATATGGCATGCAACTTTCATATAGCTCTAAATTTCATGTCATCGCGAGCGTTCTGGTGGTCGTAAATCACGCGATTCGTAAAATACGACAAGGACCGAGTTTAACCGACGAGAATTTTCATGTGATGTGTAAATCACTCATACACGCTTTCGTCCATGGTTTTCGTCGAGGAAACCAAAGAGGTTGAACCTTGACGTTGTTATTACCGTCGCTTGCAAACGAAGGATGAACGGTCGCTGAAAAAAAAAGCCTATTCGCGTGAGAATCTTAAGTTTTCTTATTTTAACATAATAGCTATTTTCAATAAATATATTGATATTAAACTTATTGAATCAATATTTTAAGTTTCAGGGCAGTTGTACCAAAAGTTATTAGCGCTAGCGCATCATAAGGTTTCAGATGGCATGCAACATCTACGCACTGCGTACCTATTTTTAAATATTTCAAGGAAGAAACAAGCCAACCTCGTACCCAGGACAGCAGACCCTGGGTACGAGGTTGGAAACAAGCTAAGTGAAAGCCGATATACACAACATTTACCTAACACTGTCGTATGCAACCTGCTTGAATGGGATAGTTTTTAGCAAGCCTTTAGTCATTTTCAATTTTCTTTACAATGTGATAATAGAACTATGGTTTACTATGGTGTGAAATTTCGTTACATAAGCACTTTAAACGAGAACAGTGATTCGACATCCCAAATGACCAACTTTATGAAATATATTTTCTTTCCATTTCAGAATTGTGATCAACACCCTAAGCAATCTATTGGTACTGAATTTCGAGCCAGTATCATGGAGCTACACTCTACCACCTGACCGCCCGGAATCTTTAGGCACACTCAATAATTTTGCAGGTGCACCACCAAGATCGAGGTCCCGGTCTTACGTTCGAGCACAGAAATTAGCACGAGGTGCGCACGTGGATAAGCTTATTCAGCCTGCAGTCTCTGTGCCGTCGTTCAGCTGTTTGCTGGATAGATCTCTTAGAGTGACGCCATTCAGCTTACGACGGACATCGCGGGTGACGAGTGCACCTGCGAATGTCACCAGACAAGTGACTCAGAGTATTGAGCAACATGTACAGCGGATAAATCGTGCACGGCAACAAACACCCCCAGAGGTTGGACAAAGTAAGCCACGCCCACAGTCATCGCCGGCTCATCTGCGGACATACGTCAGTCAAACTCAAGCAAATTCAAGTGTCCTGCCAACCGAAGGAAGTATTATTATTAAAGGCAACTTAAAACCTCCGACACAGCCAGACCCCTTACCGAGCAAGAATAATTGGCACGGCATAACCAGAGGAAGATCTGCGCCAGCGATACGTACAAATGTTCTCTCTGGTAAAGAACGTGGCTGGACCACGTCTGCAAAAGACGTCATTTTACCACATAATAAGTTGATGCGAACTGCTGCACAAGCAAGAGAACATGTCAAACGACGACCACAAAGTGCTGATTCGGCAAAAGTAAAAAAAGCTGACTTGGCAAAAGTGGAAAATGCTAATTCAGTCGCAGTGAAACAAATTTCAAGCGTCGTTTCGAAAACAGCATCATGTTTAAATCTTAAGACTTACAGCGAAGGACTAGCGAATGACGGCACGGGTCAAAACCAATGGCCACGCAAAAAGGGGACAATTAGCAAGACCCAAAGACCTCTATTATGCCTGACGTGATGAACGCACGAAGTCGCTTTATCGTTTGTAAGGACATTCTGTTCTTAACATTTCGGTGGCAATGGACCATTGACCTGCAATCACTTGTGGATACACCTTTCCCGATTGAAACATTTTCGACGTATCGAGTCCACCTCGCGGATTGAACATTCGACAGACATTTTGCATTTACATATTTGCGACATTTCATGACTGCAGATTGCATCAATATTGCTGGTTAAGCCTGTAGCTCTGTGTACCCAACCCCCGCCCCCATACAAACTGTCACGTACATCGTTTGTCGATACACCTTTCCTGACTGCCACGTTTTCGACCTATGGAGTCATTCGACATACATTTGGATTTACATATTTGTGACATTTTGTCTCAAGAGATTGCCCCAATATTGCTGGTCGCAGCTTGGTACCCCTATGATAAATAGATAGATCGTTTTATTAACAATAAACCAATTTGCATTACAAACTGAATTACTGGGATTGTTTACATAAGGATAAATGGTGCCCCTATGTTAAATTTGATATATCGGCAGATCCAAAAAACATTATAATTAAATGTTTCACTTGACCTTGGAACGCCAATTGTTTTGCCGTCACAAGATATATGTTAGAGACCTTACGATTTTAGGACGGCAACCGCGACGGCAACGGCTACCAATACAATAGATCAATGAGAAGAATTGAGGAACTACAATATATGAATAATTTAGACATTGTCCTCGCTCTGTTGACAACGCCAAATCACAGATTTTCACGTGTTGATACAACGGCTGCATTCCAAGCCACAACAAGTGCAACTTCAAACTGGGTTTAGCAGACCTCTTCCCAACCATAAAACCCATGTCTTCAACTTCTAAGACTGTATTAAATTCATACGATTGATAATATACGACGAACTATCGACTACCATTTATTTGAAGGAGTTTGTTTTGGCCGTCGCCGTCGCGGTTGCCGTCCCAAAATCGTAAGGTCTGTGTTATCAAGGCGGTAGCACAATGTTGTTTAAACTCAATCGAGACATTTGAATGTTGTCTAGGTGTTGTCAGGCGTTACACGGGTTGTTGAAAAATTACCTGAATGTGAAGGTATATATTGCTATATCAGAGGTGTTTGCTTAGATTGAATTTGTTAGCAACAGTTTTAAAAATACCTTTTTTAGGTATAACATCTTCCACTTCAATGCTATATCAAATCAAAGGATGTGTTCTAAAAGTACACACGAGTGACCACATATGGACTACATGCAAGTGATTAGCGGGAATAACACTCGGCATAAAATGTACACCCATTCTTAAAGGAATATACCGAATGGTTTTCCCTGCAGGATTGCGTGATCCATGCACGCGGGATGTTTCGAGACATTCGGAAAGCGTTTTATGCTTTCCAAAAGTCGAGAAACACCCCAAGTGCATGGAGCACGCTATCCTCCACGAAAAAACCATTCGGTAATTAGTCTTTGTATAGGTTTGCATGGCGAAAAAACATATAATATTATTGTTTGTGGAAACACCACGTAAATTTATTACTGCAAAGCTTTCGATCTGTAAGCCCGGATCTTCATTCTGTAATTGTTTTATAAAATAACTACAGTAAAACAATGGTAAAGTTAATTATATAATAACTACAGTGAAACACATCGAAAAGTTTTCTTTAAAAATTCACTGTTAGGCTTAGGTAAGCATAGGTCTGTATCGTTTCACATCAAGTGTTTGCTAACCGAGAGCATCCAAAACATCAGTGGACCTATCATCATAACTGGCTCCAGTAATCACTCTAGCTAAACCTTTGTTCACAGTTTTGGTGAATTTGCTGCGGATGCTCGTTTAATATACTGTTATTGTTTGTTTCGAGGTTTGTTTCACGCATAAATTGAAAAAAACCCCACCAACCCAATCTAAATTGGGAAAATACACTTTTATAATAAAAAAAAAACAACTTGCAGGTATGAACATTGTAAATATACACCGGCACTGTATTGAGATACATAATTCCAGCAAGCTTGCATGACCAACACATGCATTCATCAATTACGATACTGAGTTGGTTGTATTTGCTGTGATTCGACAACTTCTTGTTGTTGTATAAAACAAAGTACTGGCTTCAAAAGCATCATTTGCATTTGATAATTTGGATAGTTTTGTTTACTTTTATTATTAAAATCTTTATATAATATATAATTAACATGGGTTTTTGTTTGGTGGCCCAACCGTGAACATACAAAAAAATTGGCGGCCCATCGAAACTGCACATCCCAAATCACTCCAGCCCACCCTAGCAGTTACTTAGTCTTAGTCTTTATGACCGGTCCCTTATATCACTCGTGGTCGATCTGAGGTCATTCGTGGTCCACTCGTGTGTACTTTTAGAACAGATCGTCCAAAATTAAGCTGAGTAAAAATCGCAGTAATACAATTCATGTAAAATGATTGGTGAAGTATAAAGTTTAAAAGAATCTTTAACCAAGTATGTTCCATTGCGTTTTAAAATAATCATAATCGGAATAATTTTATTTTATCAAATAAGTATAGATTTCAAATGCAACAAGAGACAAATTTTGCACATTATATGTTGTAAAGAGTGTCATTTTGATTAGTTCTCTACTCATTGTATCATTGCAATAACGTCAATGCATTACTGCTCATCCAATAAAATTTTTGATCATTTTTTATCTACACAATATATTATTAATTAATATAATACAGTACAGAATTTGCCTGGGTTTTTTTCTGATATTGTTGTTTGTACAGTATTTCAATGTTTATATACAAGATTGTGTCTATATAGACGAAATCAAAGTTTCTGCGCATCTACATGACGCATTCTGCGCTGGAAACAAATTGCAGTTGAGCACTTGAACTATGCTGTTGCGTGAGAAAATGTCTGCGTCAACCTTACTGAAATTTACCTTGCGAACGCAGTAAACACGAAGCTCTAGGAAGATGTTCTGTGACTGGTAGATTATGACAATAACAAAAGACGTAATTGGCTTACATAAACAAAAGGAATGTTTGAGCAACTTTTTGCATTCAAATAATAATTAAACAGTTGAATACTTTAATACGCATATTCTAATTGTTCCAGTCCTGACTACATGTATGTTATAGTTCAACCGCAATATATCCCAACGCGCTCTGCGTCATTTGGATGCGCAGTGAAAACTCAGATACCTAATAAACTATAGTACACCGTATGGAGCATTTTACTGTATCAGGCCGGATACCGGATATGCCTGATAGTTGAAAAATATCCTGTACGTATTATCTTCAAAGGTTAAATAATGATTTCATTGGTTATAAAGTGATGTTGTTTGACTATCGATTATATTGACTTGAATTCAGGCTTTTAGCCAGAGTCCTAAAAGAGGGCGTCCAAAGGGTTAGAGAAAACGTTCCTCTGGAAAACCTTTGAAGTTTATGTTACTTCATGTTAGTATCTTTCCAACCTCGTTTGAAATTTTTGAAACACACTTGGCTTTGTGAGTTTGTGCCACTATTGTTTCTCTACTTAACTACGACGTTTTCATTCAACCAGGTACGCCATCAAATTGATCAAAATGTCAAATGTATAATAATAATGAGAATTGAAGTTATTTCGTTTCGGATATGTTAATATACTTAGGGAATCATTGAAAATAATTTCCCTTTTGCCCCATAATTTGGGCGTCCAAAGGCGTCCACTTTTTGTTCTAAGAGCGTCCCAGGACGCCTGGACGCCCTTCTGGCTAAAAGCCTGCTTGAATTATTGGAAAGGACTTCGCAGTCCAACATCAATAGACATGCAAGGCTGGAAAGTCTCTCAAAAAGTTCCAATTTCAATCGTACTTTTTCATGCAAGCGAGCATGAAAAATATTGAAACTATAATTGCCAGATTCTCTTCGACCATTGCAAGTAAAGAAAGACTCGTACTTTTAAAACCATATGGCATCATTTCTAACCTGAAAAGAGGCCCGAACCTTCAATAAGTTTCAGCATCTTACCCACAAAAATAATGAACAGAACATATGCTCGTCAAACTTTTCTACAATCTATGGCGAACCTCAACAGCAAAAGTTACCATTCTCTGATAGGTTTTCTCACGCCGGAATATCCTGGATTTTTTAAAGGGATACGGCAATATATTTTTTTATTATTTCATTTTAAAGAACTTTTAAAATTATATATGTAAATATCCTTTATCGATTTTGCGTGACTTTATTATTTCTTGAAATATTTTGACTTAAAATAATTTGCTGTCCGCCATCTTGGATTAATTTTTATCTCATTATCGCAAATATCGGTGATTTTAGTGACGTCATAAGCAGGGTAAGCCATATAAAACTACATCTAAATGACCAATTAACATTAAGTCTTGTTTGAAAAGTCGTCAGACAGTTTTTTATTTCAAATAGTTACTGAAGTATATGATTTTGGGCTCATAATAACCAATTGCTCTATGGATAAAATTCTTGCGTGACCCTGCTTATGATGTCACATGCATATCCGCCAAAATCCAAGATGGCGGAAAGCTCGCTGATTTGTGATTTTTTCTGTTCAAATATCTCAAGAAATAATAAAGTTACGCAAAATCGGTAAAAGAGATTAACATATAATTTTAAAAGTTCTTCCAAATGAAATAATAAAAAAAATATATTGCCGTATCCCTTTAAGTCACAAGTCGTTCCCGGATTTACGTGTACGAGTAAGTGTATATCATCCGTAAACCGGAACCAGGGTATATATCTTAACCTCTCTAATATCGGGTATCCAGTCGGATATCTTAGATATCCAGCCGGATAATGAAAATCTCACTATCCGGCCAGATATAATATCTGGTGTATCCTTAAACTCTCATTCGGCTTATGTATTATATAACACAAAGAGAGAAAAACCGTTACTTCTTGTGCATGTTTGTGCAAAACCTTCTTGATAAATCAACCGTCTTACATCCCAACAGAGTGACCTTTCCTCATGCAGAGCTCTCCAAACAATGTAAAGAGAATTGCGAGGATGAAACAAACGTAGGAGGAACCAAGAGAGTTGTTAGGAGGCAATTTGAATGGCATTCCTCCGACCTCTGGACTACCAAATCCAATGGGAAATATTATTGATGCCAGGCATAACTGCATTACTACAAAATAAACATAATCATATTAATCCAATTAATGATGCGCAACGAGAGTTCCCCTCAGCCATTGAAAATCAGGCCGGCACGGGGCAGTGCCGTCCTGCAATGCGATATTATTATCTAACGAGTCCCTTTGGGCAACACGTTGTGGAATTCCACACTTTCAGAAAGTCACAAATCACGAGTCACACACTTGTACATTTGTTAAGATAGTTTATTACACCCAACACCAACAAGGGCAAAGTTATTAATAAATCCCAAGCCCAATCACTAAGTACTATTTAAAGCACGCGTAGGAGTGTTTTATCAGATATTTAAATGGCTTAAAATATGACTACATAAGAATACTAATTAGGATGAACCATTATATAATCATACTAATTAGGATGAGTTTTATCAGATATAAAGTTACTCCACGTGACATATTATGGCTGACATGATTTGCCACCAGGTTTATGAATTTTTAATGAGTAGTTTAAGACTATATAGCATGGATTGAGTATGACCCTACACGTCAGAAGAGTCGTTGCGTTGCATTGTACAGGGTGACTAAAAAAAATGCAACCCTATAATTTGCATAACAGCCTTAGCTTTTCTATGATACCTTTCTGAAACCGTAACGATGAGGAATGGCCACATACTCGTCAAATAAAAATTGTCGGTTGAAATCACATTCTTCCACCGTTGGGAATTGAAAATACATTAATTATGCAAAATTAATCAATCCAAAAGCAACGCGAGCCTTCTGCAAGGTGATTACGAATGTTCTCTGTTCAGTGGTTAATGGAATAATGTTTAATGCAATAATGGACGTTCTTATGCATGTCTCACTAAGACAAAGATTGACTAGTTGAGCTTATTTTAGATAACATTAAATTTTAATTCCCTCTTGGGAATTGTTTATTGTTCGTTTTCCATGCAACTCCCAACGGTGGAGAATGTGATTTCGACTGGCAATTTTTATTTGGCAAGTATGTGGCCATTTCTCATCTTGACGATTTAAAAAAGAGTATCATTGAGAAGCTAAATAACTGTTCTTTCGTCCTATGTAAAAATTGAATTGTTTAGCCACGTTTATGATGCACGACAGCCTGTTCAATTTCCATAGCGTTTTTTTAGACACCCTGTATATGACATGCAATGCAATGCATCGTGTAAGAGGAACATTTTGGGATCAGAACCTCTGGCTCGATATTTCTTCTCAAAAATTCCGTAGACGCTTAGGTGTAAACTAAAGTATTACTGGTCACATACACATGTTGGCGTCTCTATCTCCCCCGCTTCCCCTACAATGTTGGTTTTGACATGCATAAGCATTTCACGAAGTATTAACCTCAACAATTTATAAGTGGAGGCTCTGAGAAACATAAATATTCATTACTGCCGTCAAACATGAATTATGCCGTTGTTTAAGCTTATTACGATTTTAATTCTTCAAAGAACACTTGCCAGGGTTTTGAATTGTTGTAAGATACTGGTAGTGATTTATTTTAACTTCAGTGTTTAATTACGGTAAATCATGATCATGGATTGTTGTGTTGTTTATATTCTTACAGTTTTGTTATTGGCATGATATCAGAATAGTGTATTGATTTCATTTGAGAAGCGAAGGAAGCTTAATAAGTTTATTAAAGTTATGCTGTGTGTTTCATTGATATGTTGAATCACTAAATAGACTCACAGTTTGAATAGATTAGCACGGTATCAGTGTAAAAGAAATGGGTTGAAAAGCAACCAATCAGAGCCCGCGGATTTTCGCTGGTGTTTCCCAGAGCCTCAGCAAGCTTCCACAGAGGATTGCAGGCTCAGCGGGGTCGAGATTGTACATTCTCCAGATTACTCTATGGTTTCTCTATCCCCAACAAGCTACGCTGATAGTGTACAATATAACAGTCCCCCATTTTCAAGTAGTACGCGAACAGTGACACGTGACAACTGCGGATTGTCAGAGATACAGCTACCTGAAAAGCGGTAAACCACCTGAACTTAGCCTGTATTACAATGTAACAAACAATACTTACATGCAACAACGGCAACCCATTTACCATACTCAAAAACTTTTGGTTTCCAAAACGATGCAACAATAAGACAACATGTTAGCGTCAGTGTGAGGATGGCCAAAACAACAAACACTAAAGTCGCTTTCCAGGACGCGGGAAGGTTTGGTCGTGCACAGAGCACTTCATCTTTTATAGATTCTTGGCATAACATTGTCAAACCAAACCTCAGATTACCTTAAGACATAGAAAATTAAAGTTAGCACCATGCCAGTCAGCACTATAAATATCTGTAGTAAGAACTCGCACGCAACATGTGAAGTCAAAGATGGCGGATATCCACTTTTTTTGTGATGAGTAATATGACACTGCCAGGTAAGCATATTGTCAAACAACTATTGTAGCCTGCTAGTAAAAATTATATACATGTGCGTGAACTAAAAAGGCAGAACATCAAATCCAATATTTTTTAGTATAGCAAGTAATCTAAGGGCGCTTTCCATTAACACGGCCATGCAGAACGATCAGAACGATTAAATTGTTGATTGGAACACTTAACATTTGGGCTTCGGACCTATCTGACCGGAAAATTTAGATAACATTAGAGTGAGGTCCATTTTCGCTAGATATTTGAGAAACATAGACCAGATCTTTCCACTGATACAGAGAAAAGAATTTGGGTCTGACCGGTCAGACCATTAAATGGAAAGCGCCCAAGATGTTGTCATCAAGCAAATGAAAATTATATCCGGTCGGCAGAAAAATATATAACTATATATTTTACAGGATCATAGATTTGTGATTCGCTGCTCTTATTCCGCACTTACTCATCATAAAATGAAAGCACATACATATAGCTGCACAAACTTGTTACACCGACAGCATGACCTCATCCAGATAATTTCCCTCTTTTTCTTCCTTTTCTTTATTTAGGAAGGCATACAACAACACTGTTGTTACGTCATAACTTTGCAGGATAATGTGAGTCGCATACATACATACATGTATGTAAAGCATATCTCTTCGCCATTTGAATATTTATGACACAAAATACTCTGATAGTGCCTGTACGTCTGACATTATACAGGGTGTATCAAAAAAAACTGAACAGATTTGAAATTGCTCTCAATTTCGCAAAACACCTATTTGTATCTGTTTTTATATATATATAGCTTCTTTGGGTACTTATAATGTAAAATAATGAAAAAAATTTCTCGAACTCAAATTTTGTGAACCAGGGGTGTGTGTCTTTTCCAACAAATTAAAAATGGCTCGCGCACAAAATTTAAAAGCTGTAATCATATTTTGAGTTAATAGATTGAAAATTTGTCGGGTTTTTAATTACTGTACAAAATTTCAGACAATTTGGTTTAGTTTAAGTCCTTTAACTATTCATTTTGTTCTAAAAAGTCAGCCTTTCGCATGCTTAATTAAAGCCTTTACCTAATTTGCATATTGCTGACATATGCAAATTAGGCAAATGCATTAATTAAGCATGCAAATAGCTGATTCTTAGGAAAAATGTAACTTTGCGTGAATA